TTCGGCTAACGATAATTTTGTCTAAAGATGAGCTCTCTGCAACGAATTAATATCATTAGCCGAGGGTCCACTGTACTGTATTGACACCATCCTTTCTCACAAAACTGTTACTTGCCGATACTGCAACAATGCATCCATTAAAGTAAGAGAAGCTTCCAAACACGTTTGATCTGAATTTCTTCCCAAGAACACTACACCCTTAATTCAACCAGTGGATCAGTTTGAAGAACACTGACTTTCTTGTCACCTGAGAATTGGTGATAAAAATTTTCCCTTTTCTTAGGGATGCATGTCCTTATCTTATTCTGCCCAGTGGGCACATTAGGAGGGGCAATATTCATCAGATGCATTTTAGTGCCCTGTGGCTATTTACTAGTTTTGATGGGAAGCTGGTTACTGAACTTGGGTGAGGGTGTTTGTCCTGTTCTGCTGAGGCTTAGGCAATAGGATCCACCTGCCTCAATTGGGAACCACATCGCCCAGATTTGGACAATATTTCTTCCCAGAACATTGGAAAATGGCTCAATTCAGTGTATGCTGTCAGTGGCCTTTGAAACCCCCAGCAAGAAGAATAGTTCAGCATTTTATTAAGTCTTTCAAGTTACTTTGTTAAGAAAGCTTTCATGAAACTTGTTACAATTATAGAATAAGCCAACAAAGAATTCTGGAGGAAATTTAATATTCTGAATGCTATCAATATCAGTGATGGAGCTTGAGAAAGAGTTGGTCACTACATTGAACAATGCATGGAAGATGATGTGGCCAGAAAGTGTTAGTGATTTTCATAGATTCGAGCCATCTTTTCCATATGTACACTTGGAGATTGCCATAGACAGGTGTGTAGGGTGTAATGAGGCTTTGCAGGTTTACTGGAGTCTCATGATAAGCCTCTTGGCAATGAAGTTTATACAGCTCAATAAAACTGCAAAACTAGAAAAACAAGTTGGTTTGTGGCAAGTATTAAATGATTCAATGTGATGAGGCAACAGAAATCCTGAATGAGTGCTACGGGAAAGTGTGTGGGGAAAGAGCCAATAAAGAGCTGTCTACATCTAGGACACGTCTACTTGATTAGAAACCCTCCACAGGCCCTCTATCATGACTTATGAAATCGTAATGACATGATTGTGGCCAGCTGGTCCAGTGGCTTACACACTGGCCTGGAGTTTTACGACTCGCCACGAGTTCAATCCCCTCCCGTGGTATGGTATGTCCTCTATCATCCAGCAGAAGCAAAACTTTTATTCCTATATGTTCTAGCATCATTGTCAACTCATCAAGTTACTCAGACGATGAAGTGGATAACATTTTTCCCTTCGTCTCCCTTGCACTAATTCATTCATTGTATCATTCTCTCATTTTCTTAACCAGTCTTACTTAACTCCTTTTCTTCCTTAACCTAATGTAATTCCCATCCCCTTATCCAACTTCCTCTCTCCCACCAAAATGTGCTAATGCTGGCTTCAATGAAGATAACTTTAACATGGTACTCAACAATGAACTTGTCTCTGGTGAGTAGTACTTACTTTTTAAAGTTAATATTTTAATTATTTGTGTGTTGTTTCTTTGCTCAGGTTGAATCAAACATTTGGGATTAAATGAGATTTGTTTCTTATACAGAATTGTGTCTAACTTTCAGGAACTCTGCTGTATGACTTCTTCTCTTATCATCCCTGTTTGCTTTGTGAATCAATCTTTGGTGGAGAATCAGGTCACTGCTTTTTTTTTCAGTCCAGGAAGATGTGACCTACCCATCCATGTCTGTCTCTCTCTCTCGCTTTATCTCGATAGAACTGCATATTGATCAAACAGAAATGAGCACCTCTGAATCTATATTGGTTTATACTAATGAAGCTCCTCTCTAGGTGATCCAGTATACTCTCAAACTTCTCCATTACTTTGGAAAGGATTTATGTCAATGATACCAGCCTGCAGTTAGTGGCTAGTGGCTTCAGTCTCCCCGATTCTTGAATAATGGGATTACATTAGCTAACTTCTAGCTATCTAGTACTTGTCCCATTACTCAAAATTTGTTGAGGATCTTGCACAATAGTTTACCTCTTCCCTTAGTATCCATGGAATATGTTCTCAGGGCCAATGCTTTTGACATATCCAGTTCTTTTAGCATCTTAACCACTTCTTTATAGATGGTGGCTGGTACTTCTACAAATATTTTTCCTCATTAAGTTTTTCTACTAAATACATGGCTGTATAGCCCTTGTGGCTTAGCGCTTCTTTTTTATTATAATAATAATACTAAATACATGATATTTTGTGTATGCTATTTTATACATGTATAAAGTTAGTACATGAATGGTTCAGAGAACCGACATGTTGATAAATTAGACACATGTGCAACTCTTGGGTATCTTTATTGAGGAAACGTTTCGCCACACAGTGGCTTCATCAGTCCATACGTAGGAGAAACTTGAAGAACAGGAGGAGAATGAGGTAATCAGTCCCTCAACCTTGAGTCGATGTGGTCAGTCCATCAATCTTGAATAGAATATGGCATACGTGCGGAGAAGGAGCTTATAAACCGTTGGCAGGAGAGGTGCAGCAGTCATAGGTGGTGTCACATTTGTTCAATGTGGAAGTAGGTCGTGCCCAAGAATTAGGCAAGCGAAGAATTCCCAAGTATTAAGATCCCAAGAAGTTGCAGTGTCTGACAGGTTTGTAGATGAATGGTTCAGAGAACCGACATGTTGATAAATTAGACACATGTGCAACTCTTGGGTATCTTTATTGAGGAAACGTTTTGCCACATAGTGGCTTCATCAGTCCATACAAAGGAGAATCTTGAAGAACAGGAGGAGAATGAGGTAATCAGTCCCTCAACCTTGAGTCGATGTGGTCAGTCCATCAATCTTGAATAGAATACGGCATACGTGCGGAGAAGGAGCTTATAAACCGTTGGCAGGAGAGGTGCAGCAGTCATAGGTGGTGTCACATTTGTTCAATGTGGAAGTAGGTCGTGCCCAAGAATTAGGCAAGCGAAGAATTCCCAAGTATTAAGATCCCAAGAAGTTGCAGTGTCTGACAGGTTTGTAGATGTAGATTCTCCTTTGTATGGACTGATGAAGCCACTATGTGGCAAAACGTTTCCTCAATAAAGATACCCAAGAGTTGCACATGTGTCTAATTTATCAACATGTATAAAGTTAGCTGTCCTGGAGGTGCGAAATACAATTCCTGCACTTTAAAGGAGGAGTTTGGGATACTATTTGGAGTGGCATCTGAACTGTTGTATCTGTGAGCCTCTGCAAAGACAGTAATTGTGTAAATGATGGTAAAAGTCCTTTTCTGGGTCACCCTGCCTTGATAGAAGATGGCCAGCATGTTAAAAAAAAAAAAGAGCTCATATTGTACTTCCCACCTCCAGGACTCAAGTCTGGCTAACTGGTTCCCCGAATCCCTTCGCAAAATATTACCCTGCTCACTCCAACAGCTCATCAGGTCCCAAAAACCATTTGTCTCCATTTACTCCTAACACTTGGGAAATACATAAAACCTACTGTATCAATTGATTTAGCAACAACAGCTAAAGTCCGATGGTTACTGTTACTATAGTGGCAGGACAATCTCTTCCCTTTATCCTCCATGAATGTCATTACCAGCCACCTGCTCTCCCTCTATTAACCTGTTATATGGAGAGTTTAATGTACCTCGTTAAAAGTGAATATCAAACCTCCCATGTTGGTACATTAACTTCACCATTGCTGGCTCTGTTAACTTACCTCTTCCCATTTTCCAGCCTCCATTTTCTTAATATCTTCATGACTGAAATTCTTTATGATCAGTAGCTTTATTTTATAACCTCCTTGCTTTCTCTACTGTTCTTAGTGCTATTCTTATACTCTGCTCTAAGCTTCCTTCTGTTCAGTGGTGAGTTGTATATTAGTGTGTGCTTCTGTACACACACCCCTACCTACCTATTTGTGGATGCAGTGGTCAATTCTCAGATCCTGGCCCTGCCTCTTAACTTGCCATTCTTGAGATTCACTTCCTTGTAGTCTCATGGGTCTTACACCTGTTTTTAGAATTATATATGGAACCTTCCTCCACCACTCTGGGACTGGAGAAATACAGTGGACCCCCGGTTAACGAACTTTTTTCATTCCAGTAGTATGTTCAGGTGCCAGTACTGACCGAATTTTTTCCCATAAGGAATATTGTGAAGTAGATTAGTCCATTTCAGACCCCCAAACATACACGTACAAACGCACTTACATAAATACACTTACATAATTGGTCGCATTTGGAGGTGATCGTTAAGCGGGGGTCCACTGTACTTCCTAACATCCTCATGGCTTATCTGTGTTCCCATTTCTCATCTCTAACAGCCTATCTGTGTGTGTTTGTTATCTCTCATCAGTTTTGAAACCACATGTAAAAAATATAATTAAGAAACATGAATGTTTTAAATTAGGCAGTAAAAAAAATTGCTGACAAATGAAAAGGCATATCATGTTCAAAACATTTAAAATATCAATAAAGGGTTTAATAAAAAAAAAGCTAAAAATTAAATTAAGAAGCAAAATACACACAAAAAATACAGGGACACTGCAAGCACCAAGTCGTATAGTAATTACTGTATAGTGAACACTAGGTAGCTTCAGATTCAGCAAGCATAACAACTACTCTTACTAATAAACACAAATATTTTATGAATTAAACAAACTGATGAACATTTAGCATCATTCACTTGAGGCAACATAATGTCCTGACTGAGGCACTATGGTGCCTTTCATTTAACATGAGACTGTAACATGCTTTTTTTCCATGCTTAAGATAATACCTACATTCAAATTAATGTTTCAATTTTCAGGTACATGCAGAAAACTATGGCACTCTGTGTAATGCATAATATAAATTATTATAAGAAAAAAAAATCCAACTAAAGTTTTATTATGTGCTAAATGTTCTAAAAATAATCAAATCAAACAACTTCTGACAAACACTAGGTTTGAATTTGGAAGATTGTGCAGTGATCCCTGTACCTTTCTCCCCTTAGCCTCATCACTTAATGTCTGAGGGTCAGGGGATGTAGTGGAGCTTGCAGATGTGCCAGCAGGGCTTGCTGGAGCTGACACAGAGTAGCCAGCAGTCTCGTCACGTCCACTCACCAGTAGATTACGAAGCACAGAATGGCTCTTATTTGTGATGACATTCTGGGAGGCAGAAATCCCTCCACCGGGACGCCCTCCCCGAACTGTGATCGGCTCCTTGCTGATCAGTAACTGCTGCATAGTTGGCGCGTGGGGAGTTTCTAAGAGGCGCAAACCTCCAGATTGCAGTTGTTGATGCAGTGAGCCATCCTGATGCTGCTGTTGCGAGTTTAGATGTTGTCGTTGGCAAGTTGGTGAACAGAGTTTTTTATGGTTGAGGAGGGGAGATGAATTTGGCGAGTGTCCCCGCTTGATAGGCACTGACACTAAGTGAGTATCAACTGTGAGTAAAGGCGGTGGAGGATCAACTGTCTCCAGTACCATTACAGGCGGAGGATCAAGTAATGACGTACTACTTGGTGATCCATCCAAATCGTCTTCAAAAAATAAAAAATATAATTTTTTTAAATTTGAAATTTGGGTTTTTTAGATAGCGGAACATTTTAGAACCATTTCGGGGAACCCACAAAGGTTTCTAATATTACTTATGAGCAGGGGAAAGAGAGACAGACAGACTGATAATGTACACATGGAAGAACTGAGGGTCGGTTTCCAAACCTACACCACCATATTACTGGAGAGAGATATGGGTGTAAAAAAACCATGAAAAGCGGGGCACAATATGGAACCCTAAAGTAAAATCTGTGGTCCCAGATTTCAAACACTTATTATTTTTTATAACAAAAAGAAACGCTAAGCCACAAAAGGGCTTACATGGCAGGGGAGGAAAGGGAACGAGGGCATCGGTGGGGGGAAAAGGGGAAAGGATGAGTAATAGGTTAGGGTAACAGCGGGCAGTGGGTGGGAAAGGGTAAAAAAAGGGAGCAAGAGACGAACTAAAAGGGCTGAGGGGGGGTGCGAAAAATATCATCGAGTTTGTGGAGTAAATCTGTTGTTGCAAGAATCAATGAGAGAGTCAGGTTAAAGGGGGGCCATCACAAGAAGGAAGGTAAAGAGAGAGTAGTAAACGAAGACGATGGAGTAAAATTTTGCGTGCTCGTTGTTAGAGAGGGCAGTCTAACAGAATGCTGCTAATCGATACTGGAACTTGACACTGCTCACCAGAGAGGAACAGGGTGCCTCTCCATGAGATACCCATATAAGAGAGTGTGACCAATGTGAAGCGGAGAGAGTGGTCTCCAACCTCGCACGATGACAAGAAACGCCAGTACCCTATGTCTCGTTTAATAAATGAAGTTGTTACTGAGGCAGAGTTGACCAACATTGTTGCCACGTGTGCGAAGGTGGGTATCATGCAGCAAAATAGTCCAGAAATGGAACCACCTCGATAGGAATTGGTAGGTCCATGTCTGCTGACCGCGCAGCAGTGTCGCCTTTATTGCCCTGTACTCGACATGACCAGGACCCACAAAATACAAATATCTTTATTTTGGTAGAGATACGGTGTAGCCAAAGTTGGATACGAGAACTTAAAAAAGGGGATGGAGATGTATCAAATTTTTTCCGTATAGCCTGTAGAGCACTAAGGGAGTCCTGAGATCTACAACAAATATGACACAGGCATGAGATGCAATACGAATAAGTGCTGCAAGAATGGCAGTACAGTTCAGCATAAAAATGCTAGCTAAAATAGTAAATGTCCCCGCAGACGCTGTCCGAAACACTGCGGCAAGCCGACGCCATCTGAAGAACTAGAACCATCTGTGTTACACAGCGGTGGCATGAGAATGTGAGTGAAGTGATCAGAAAAAGAGAGCGGGAAACCACGTAGGCAGTTTGAGCTTTCGAGGCAAGGAGTGAGAAAGAACAGACCCGAACCAGCTGGAACTTTCCCAGGGGGTATGGAAAGGGTGAGATGCCTACATGAACATATAAAGGTGGTAACTGAAGAAGACAAGATTGAATTAGGCGAAGAGAAAAGGGCGGAGCAAACAGGGGCGACTGAACGAATATAGAATGTCTACTTAATATCGTGACCATTCGATAAAATGGAAGGATTGTGTAGATCGTGAAGAGCGACATAGTAGCGAGGCATGGCAATCACGCGATCAGACAAGGATGGAAACATTCGCTTCTGTATAGAGGCCTCACAGGGAAGAGCAAAAAGCACCAAGGCACAAAACGTAATCCTTGGTGATGGATAGAGATAGGCTAGAGAGAGTAGCAGGAGAGGCCGCGGAATAAATCTGGTCACCATAATCGAGTTTCGATAAAACGAGGGCTGAATGTAGGCGAAGCAGAGTTCGACGATCAGCTCCCCAGGAAAGATGAGCAAGGGTTTTAAGAAGGTTTAGCCGGCTGTGACAAGTTGCCTTCAGAGAGGTAATGTGAGGTTTCCAGGATAACCGACGGTCAAAGAGAAGGCCTAGAAACCTGACTGTATCACGTTCGGGATACGGGAGCCATAGAGATACAAAGGATGATCGGAGATAACAGAGCGTCTAGTGAAAGTAATTTGGTGAGTTTTGGTACTTGAAAATTTAAACCCATGCGTGGTGGCCCAAGTGGAAACACGGTCGACCGCATGCTGGAGAGAAACTGCAATAAGATGACAGTCAGCGCCTGCACAAGCAATAGCGAAGTCATCAACATAGAGTGATGACCAAATATTGGGTGGAAGAACAGAGGCCAAATCATTTATAGCAAGGAGAAAAAGTGTTGTGCTTAGAACACATCCCTGAGGGACACCTTCAGCTTGGACGAAGTCCGGGGAAAGAACATTATTGACTCGAACACGGAAATGTCTGTCAGTTAACAAGTTCTTAAGGAAGGATGGAAGATTGCCTCGGATGCCTATGAGGAATGGGCCAGGGCCAAAATATTATACCTCCAAGTTGTGTCATATGCCTAACTCAAGGTCAAAAAGTATGGCAATAACGAGTGATTATTCGCAAAGGCATTACGAACATCACTATCCGCGTAGTAAGGTCTATGGTAGAACGACCCTTACGAAAGCCATATTGACTAGCGGAGAGACTGCGTTTTGTGAGTCTCTAAATAACCACATGGAAACGTCTGATTTCGAGGCGTAACCCTCACTTGCCAACTGCACTAGTAAGAGCGATGGGGCGATAGTGGAGGCAACATGTCCCCTTAGTACCCGGTTTTCGAGGGAGAAACAAATGGCAGATTTTCCACAGCTGGGGAAGAACTCCATGTGCCCAAATAAGATTGAAGAGGTTAAGAGGACATACAAGGGCTGACCGATGTAAATGTTTTTGTAACATACGAACATGACTGTCGGTCAGGCCCAGCTGCCGAGATCGGCAAGCAGAGAGCGTTGCCTCCATTCTTGAAGTGATAAAAAGGCACAATTATAATGTTTTCTTCTCGCGGAGAGAAGAAAAGTCCAAGGACTAACTCTCTGGCAGACATTGAGGAAAATAAACGGGAGCCTTAGATGGAGTCCCTCGGGAAATACGGACCAGATATGTGCCAAGTTCAATTGCAAAACGTCGGAGGGTTTGCTATATCAACACCAGTGAACCCGTAGAACAGGAGCCGGGATCAGGAGAGTATTTACCACTCAATTTCCTCACTTTTTCCATGACAGCACTCATAGAAGAAGCAGAGTTGATGGTGAAACATAGTCTCGCCAACAAGTGCGTTTTATGCTTCACGGATGACAAGGCAGCGATCGCACGGCATCTGCTTAATCAAGAAGTCTCTCAGCGGTTCTATTGGTACCATACCTGCCCCATGCAGCACGTTTCAAACGTACTGCACGAGCACAAGCAGGAGACACCAAGGCACAGCACTTCAGAGAATGCCTGCCTGAGGTTATATGGGTAGTAGAATGAGAAGCTGCGGTATAAACTGAGTACGAGAAATGGTAGAGCTCATCAATGAGGAATGAAGAAGGAACCTCACAAAAAGCAGTGAGGTGAGAGTAACGATTCCCAATTTGCCTGATCAAATTGCCACCGTGGGACTACGGAAAGGTGGTGAATAGGAAGGAGAAGTAAGATGAGAATCGGAAAATGTCCTGTCATGTAAGTCAGGTAGAACAGAACCAGTGAAGACTAGTGCAAGTGGGAGGAAGATCAGACTTGAAGATGATGCAAGAGAGAGTATGATACGAGGAGTCAAATTGGTGGGAGTAACCGTAGTTTAAAACATGGGAGGGGGTAGAGGCAAAAAAGCTCCAACTGAATGCCACGTGAGTCACAATGGAGACCCCCCCCAGAGGAAATGGTGGAATTAAACAATCACCAAGTAACAGAAGTGGTGGTGGGTAAGGATGAAACAAGAAAGGCAAAGTCTGGGATAGAAAAATGCAGAGAAAGAGAGCTGGATATAAAGAACAAATTGTTAAAACCAATTATACAAGTGGATTACGGGCTGCAGTGGGTAATGCAGCGAGGGTAAAGGACAAATAGATTACATACAATATCATTGCTGTAGAAGAAGGTCACTTTCATTGAAAGGTCCCATCTGAGAAAAGGAACCGAAGAATACAATAAAATTATAGCCAGAGAGATAGGTGGAAACCGCCGAGTGTAATTTGTTCTTGTAGCAAGCACAAACAGGAGAAAACCTTGAAAGCAAACCTCTGAAGCTCACCCGCTTACCCCTGAGGCCGCGGATATTCACATGAACAATAGGGCCATGAATGGGCGAAGCGAGAAAATATCCGGAATCTTGTAGTAAGGCACCTACGGAACTTAGATGGGTTTTAGGAAAAGTCAACGTTGGTGGCGATTGGAAGATGTCAAGTACGATGGAACGGAGCCTTGCGAAGATGGGTGGTGTGAATATGGAGGAGAGGAATAGAAGGAACAGGAAGTGAATCAGTGTCCATTGAAGTTTTGTCTCAGCAATATATTCTTGACAATGGCTTATCAAGTGTTTCTGAATACAAAGAATGTATGGGAGACCATATTTGAGATAAGGAGGAGGGTGGGTGAGTAAAGATTGGGTGTCAGTAATGACTGTACCCAAAGATAGAGAGTGGGAGGGAAAAGTTGTAAGGGACTGGAGATGAAGTGTGGGGGGGGACAAAGAGGCAGAAACAGGGAGGTGGACAGAAGAAAGGGCGAGCGAAACTGTTGGGAGGGGAACGGGGGTGAAGGCATATACGAGGATGAGGGTGAATCACCACACTTGTAATAGAGCCAGAGAGAGGCAGAACTATGTACAAGAGACAGGAAGGATAAAGAGGAGGTGGAAGAGGGCAGGAAGGGGCAAAGAAGATTGAGCACTGTGATTTTTTGCGCTGTCTGAGTAGAGGGGCGATTGGTAATAAGTGTTGTCGTACGAAGTTCATTGACGATAACGTGTCTTGTGAGCGAAGGATTGCGAAGATGAGAGAACACCTGAGTCTCCGATAGTCGGGACGTCAGAGCCAGCAGCAAAAGAGGATAAGATGCCGTATTGGCTATGTGAGAGGAAACAACAGAGGAGGCTGCAGAAGATGGGACCTCCAAGAAGTGGGGTGACGTTTATGTAAACACGAGAAGAAGAACACGGGTAAGTCTCCCTTGGAGGCCGGAGATAGATAACTGAGCCATAGCATAAGGAGACCTTCTGCCTCTTTGAGGCAACGGATTTCACGTTCATTATCAGTTAGACCTGCAACGTCGGTAGTACAAAGGGTGAGCTTCATTACAATTAAGGCAAGATGGAGAGTTGACAGCAGAAGTAATTAGAATGGTCCGCGGCACCACAGATGGGGCTGGGCATTCGGCCATAGATCGCAATATTTCGCTGGGTGACCAAAACGCCAGCAATATTTCTACATTGTTGCGGATGTAGGATCACCTTTCGAACTGTGAACCCATGGTCCCGCTACATATACAGAGGACGGGAGTTCTCGCTACAAAAGTTAAATGAGCCACATTGCAAGGGAAACGTCTCCGCCCCCGGGCAGAAGGACAAAAGTGTCTAACATTGAAGATTAGGGAGATCACTGGATTCCGACAGTTCAAAAATGTCATTGCCCACAAGACTGTAAAATTCTGTTGACTAAGGTATGGGGTCAGAAATGTCAGTACCACTACAAGAATTGGAGATAAAAGATGTTTTTCAATAGTGATAGAGTAGTATCGATCTTCGAAAGGTAGAGAAAGATCATGAAGCATGAGGGTAGTCATTACAGAGACCGTGACGATGCGGTACGCTCTATGAGAGCGTGAACACTGAATATCTCTAGCAACAAGACGCAGGAGCGCTTTGGGCAATACATGGTCAGAAATGTAGGCAGAAGAAGAAGTTTGGTCTTAAAAGGTAAAGGAATTTTAGTCCATTGTGTGGTTCCCCGAACTGAGGCGTGGAGAGTGAGTGCTTGCTGTCGGTCTTTTCCCCGAGATAGAATGGGAAGGATAACGACGAGCATCATCAAGGAGATTGACGTAGGCATTTAAGGAGTAGAACGGAGTTGGTCCGGCAATGAAAAAGTGTGAGGGCGACAAAATTCGAAAATTGGCCGTACCGTAAGGGAGCAGCCGAAGCATAGTCAAATGAGGAGCGAGTTCATACAATCGAAGAGAGTCCAGTCGAAGCCCCGTATCCTGAAGCGGTGAGGAAACAGCACCAGCAAGAGGTACAGGCCATCAGAGTGGCGAAGAGTGGTCTACACACAAGGCAGGTCAGAATGGGTGCGGTATCAGAAGGTGGCCCGGGTAGTGGTTTTACATTGACTAGGGCTGCCATGGATGGTTACTCCTTATGCATTTTGATTTTTAAGAAAATAAAGAAGAAAAGAAAATAAATAAAAAAAAGAATAAAAAAGGGGGAGCGGGGAGGAAATAAGTCTCCAGTAGGAACGAAAGGCCGGAATCTCCCTCCCGCCCAAGAGGACCCTCAACACCGTGAGTAGCGCAGATGCAGCATGGGAACCCGTGCCATACCCTACCCTTCCTGCGCAGAAAACCACAATCCGGGATAGCAACCTCACATCACATGCCGAGCACCTCGGTGTGACAAAAAGAGAGGGCGGCCGGATATCCGCCACCAAGCATACCTCCTTCGGCCACCACCCCCGGGATTCCGAAAGGTGGCTTTCCATAGATACACCCGTCGCCCAAAAGACACCCCAAGCTACCCGGGATACCGGAGAAGGGATCGGGACATCCCCAGGCAATCCCAGGGAATATTCCACGGCAAACTACCCCCTCCAAGAACCTCAACGGATGGGATGGACCCTGTCCCTTTCACCCTACCTAGGAACTAGCGCGCCTGTGGGAGAAATCCCCGAATGCAAAAAGAAGGAAGGCAAAAGGAGTGGTGAGGAGGAGGAGGAGGAATGGAAAAGGGGAGATGGGGGAGGACGGGATAGGGGAGGGGAGAATGGGGTTGTAATTAGCGGTTCGGTCGAGTAAGAAGACCGACAGGGCTAATTCCACAGACCAGCCTCTCTTCACCACGCAAGGACCCGCCCCCTTGAAGAGGCGTTCATTGAGACCTACCCTTAGAAATCTACCATGAAAGGTAATTAACAGGAGGAGACATAGCATAGAGCCTGCAATTCCCAGAGCATGCAGTTTTGCTAAGAGGCCCATGGTGCCCACACCCGTCGAAAAGCACCAGCAATGTCCAGTGCTACCACACAGCATACTTTGGAATTCCTTCAGTGACTGGAGCCATTTAGTGTAGATAGTTGTTCAGATCATAGTGGACTATATGTGTGTGCAATTAGTGATAAAGTTCAATTATATTATATTTAAGGCCCTTACTATCTTTGCTAACAGTACCCAACTACCTCACATATTTTATTTCTACTTTTTTTTATTATTTTGCTACCTTAACTTGCGCATATTTATCTTGTCAACTTAAATCTAGTTTTATACTCTAATTCTTGTAAACAATTTCTATAACACCTTGTGCAATTACAACGAAGTTTTGTGCCTTTTTATATCATTAGATTAAACTAGGGGTACATAGCTCATTCTGCCAATACATAGTCAATCCCAAATTCTTAATTAGACCATAGTGTAATTACTAGTGAGAGCGGTGCTATTTTAATTTGATTTTTATATATTAATTAAACCTATTGTACTATAGCTCATTCGCTCAATACATAACTATACCAAATTCATTACATTAACCTTGGGCAATTAAAAAGTAAGTTTTTGTGCTATTTTAAATTTGAAATTTTAAATTTTATTATTTTTAACCTATTTTGTACTTTACTCATTCCAGCAAAAACACTAGACAACCCCAACTCCATTATTTTGTATTAGTGACTATACCACTGACCAAATGCAATACATACACTTGTCCCAACTTCCCCCACTACAGAATCAGTACAAAACTCAGCCCACAACTCAGGTTATAAATAACCAAATTTAAACCTAGAAGATATTGATCACTTTGACCCGATCAAACCCCCAAAATCGACACACAGCAAAACCCGGGAAAAAAACTGCTTTATACACAGCATCACAAGCCAGCACATCCAAAACAACCCAAAAGTCTATCATACTAACACAAAAATTAGGCCCTTTAAGAAAACACTATGAGACCTCCGGCACTCCTTAATCACAAAAACACCCTTCCCCGCATTATTCTTACTGAAAACCGGCTTAAGCAGGACACAAAAGATATCTACCCTCACCAGGATACACAGCAAACCCCCCCAAATGCAGACCATACCAATTGGGGGTGGTATTGCAATCTATTACTCTAACCAATTATCTTGTATTAGCACCACTTTCTTTTGTGATGAAAATGGAGAATACATTTTTGCTAAATTTTACTGTAAAAAAAACCCTTTAAACCTTATTTCAATCGGTGCCATTTTCCCCATACCCCCCACAAAAATCCCAAATTTCATGAGAAACTAAAGGCACTAATAACAAACAGACAAATGAATAAGCACCACCTTCTCTTAGCTGGAGACTTCAACATCAACCTTGGCCTACTAGATGATCAGCCTGTAACTGATTTCATCAACAATATGAACAACACACTTCTCATACCAACAATAACTAAACCAACCAGGCTCACTGAAACAAGTGCAACCATAATAGACCACATATGGACCAATATACTAGCCCCCCTTAAATCAGGGATAATCACAGATAGCACTACAGACCACTACCCTACCTTCCTCTTGACAAACATTAGTAAACCACCACATGAATACAACAAAGTTTCATTTAGACTCCATGATGAGGCCTCAATAAGGAAGTTCACACCTGACCTAGAGACTGTTGACTGGCCTACAGAATTCTCCAAGGCCAATGGTATTGATGACTGGACAGACATTTTTCTTAACAAATTACTTAGACTATACAACAAACATTGTCCTATAAAAACGAAACAGATCACAAACAAACGGCTTGGTTGCCCATGGCTAACGAGCACCATTCTGAAATCCATTGATAAGAAACACCAATATGAAAAGCAATATAGACAGGGCTTAATACACAAAGATATTCTTAAACATTATTCATCAGTCCTCACCAAAGTAATAAAGAAAGCCAAACAACTTTACTACTCCAGTAGATTCACTGACACAAGAGGAAATATAAAAAAGACCTGGAAAACACTCTCTCAGATTCTAGGGACCCACAAACTAAAAAAAAAACAAGAATATTGCCCTAACTAAACCTAATGAAACACCACTGCATCCCACTGACACAGCTAACAAGATAAACGACTTCTTCTCAACCATAGGTTCTAATCTCGCCAATAAAATCCCATGCACCAATGCCCATGCCGGGGACTACCTAGATGGGAATTTCCCAAATTCCTTCTATCTTGCTCCAACTGAGCCCATGGAAGTCACTAAGATTATAAAGTCACTTAAAAACAACTCAGGGAATCTGTCTCATGTCCCACCATTATTGTACACGAGAGCGGCCCATGTCCTCTCGCATGCTATCTCATTACTTTTTAACAAGTCACTAGAAACTAGCACCTTGCCGAAACTACTCAAGACGGCAAGGGTTACACCAATACATAAAGGTGGTAACCCTACAGAATTAAACAACTATAGGCCAATATCAAACTTACCATTGCTAACCAAAATCTTTGAGAAACTCGTGCACAGGAGACTATATTCATTTATTACGGCACAAAACATACTCAACCCCTGCCAATTTGGATTCAGGAAAAATAAAAGCACTAACGATGCAATCATAAAAATGCTAGATCTGCTTTACACAGCATTGGAAAATAAGGAATATCCACTAGGAATTTTTATTGACCTAAGAAAAGCTTTTGACACAGTAGACCATGGCATCCTACTCCACAAACTTGACCATTATGGTATAAGAGGCCATGCGCTTGCATATTTCAAATCTTACCTTACTAATAGGTATCAGTATGTCACCATTAATGACACAGCATCAACAACACAGCCACTTGATACTGGAGTTCCGCAGGGAAGTGTCCTTGGTCCCCTGCTCTTCCTCATATACATCAATGATCTTCCAAACGTATCTCAACACCTGAACCCCATTCTCTTTGCTGAAGACACGACTTATGTCATCTCTCACCCTAATCTTGCCACCCTCAACACCATTGTTAATGAGGAGCTGATCAAAATATCGACTTGGATGACAGCCAATAAACTTACGCTTAACACTGACATTATGTTTGGTAGCAGAGCAGGAGATGCGCAAATTAACATTAAGATCGACAACACTCTAATTGCCAGGTATAATGAGGGCAAATTCCTAGGCCTATACCTCGACAACAACCTGAACTTCAGCACCCATATCCAACACATAACCAAAAAAGTATCCAAAACGGTTGGGATCCTCTCCAAGATACGATACTACGTACCGCAAACTGCCCTTCTCACACTATACCATTCACTTATATATCCATACCTCACCTATGCTATCTGTGCTTGGGGTTCAACTGCAGCAACACACCTAAAGCCAATAATAACCCAACAAAAAGCCACAGTAAGAATAATCACTAAATCCCATCCCTGGCAACACCCCCCCCCCAACTCTTCATAGATCTAAACTTACTCCCTGTGCAATCTACATCTACAGGACCTTAAATTCCATTATTAACCTTGACCTAAAACGCTTTCTTGATAGTTGCGACAGAACCCACAGGCACAACACCAGACACAAACATCTCTATGACATTCCCAGTGTCCGACTAAACCTTTACAAAAATTCAATGTATGTCAAACGCCCTAAAATCTGGAACACCCTACCTGAAAATTCTAAAACTGCAGACACATTCATCACCTTCAAAACTACCATCAGAAAACATCTTATCTCCCTGATACACCCTGTCAACTAATTACACGAATACCACCTGGTGGTTAACACTTACACTCACTCACCCATTTGACCATAAACAGAAATATCAATCTCAATCTCAAAATAATGAATCTTAACTAGTCATAAGTTGGCCTGTGATACTCCAATACTGAAACTATGTATAGTGCCAAAACAAAAGCATTCACATTGCTAAACTCACAAACTAGTATTTAGTCACTTAGCCATAATACCAACTAACCTCATAATTTTGTAATATTTTAAACTTAAGATTTAATTTAAGTCTGCCCGAAATGCCTAGCCATACTAGGTGTTCTAGTGGTACACTCTGTAATTATTATTTTACTACATGTAAACCACACAATAACCAAATTCTGTAAACTCAGCATTGTAATCCTTATAGAGAATAAATTTTGAATTGAATTTGAATTGAATTGAATTGAATTGAATTGAATTGAATAGATCAGCAACACAGTAACCTTTCCTGAAACCATATTGATGAAGAAAATAAGAAAATAATAATAATACTGTGATGATAATACAGGTCGGCTATCACTGATCTGGCAGTCAATAATCCGGTTCCATCAATCCAGCACTAATTTCAGCTAGTGTAATTTCAATTTTCCTGAGTTGCCACACCAACCTGCCACTACTGTTTGGTGGCACTACTTGCTATAATCTGCTCACTTTTAGCCCTAGCCATGGTTCCAATGAATAAAGGCAATGCTTCTCATTGTGTAACATGCAAGGACCGTACACTGTCCTTAAAAGATAAGGTTGAACTTCTGAAAAAACTCGACAGCAGTGTGTCTGTGAGAAGCTTGGTAATTCAAACAAATAGATGTGAAGGAAGGAAAAAGTTCAGAACTAGATAAAGTTCTGATGAAGTAGATGACGTGGTTAGCTGTTGGGTTAAGTGCATCTTAACCTAACCACTCTGTAATCTGGCAAAATCACTAATCCGGCACCGTATAGGTTCCAACGATGCCGGATTAATGATGGTCGACCTGTAATAAAAATATTACTATGATAATAATAATACTCTGATAATAATAAAAATAAGAATAATAATAATATGATAATAATAATAATATTGTGATAATAACAAAAAGAATAATAATAACTAATAATAATACTGTGATAAAAATAATAACAATAATAAAAATAATAATATACGCACTATTACTATTAAATCTTGAAACATACCAAAAACATCCAGGCAAAGAACCAGAGAAGTCCCAAAACACCAAACAAATAAAAGACTGCTGGCCAACCCTTGAGAAAAGATGACTGACACAACAAGCCAGAGATGGGAAGTGATACCACAGTCCCAAATTGAGATCCTGAAATATTTTAAACATTGTTGTTAGTGCCGCACATAAACATATAGTACATACATACATGTATACTGAACTTGACAAACAGACTTTTCAAAAATAATCTTTTACAGAATGATAGATAATGCTTTTCCAATGACAATGATATAAAGTTTTTTATTTTTGGACCAAACCTAACTTAGAAACCTCACCTAACCTAACTGGCACTAATGTAATTTTTCTTTGTAAGTCCTGTCATATATATCATAGGTCAATTTAAATTGATTTAATATTACAGTGGACCCTCAAGTTTCGTAAGCCTCTTGCTTTGTAAATGTCGTCGCTTGTCCGTAACGCATACAAGCGGCCTCCCAGCATCCGCTCGCACACAAAGGCTCCCCACACACCATTCCCAGTCAGTGTGGCATTGTTTATTGGTGAGTGACCATCACACTATGCGTTCACATGATAAATTTTCTTAATAATCCATTGTGTTTTGTTCTTGCAACTGCTAAATAAGCCACCATGGGCCAAAAGAAAGCTCCTAGTGCTGGCCCTTTGGTAAAGAAGGCAAGAAACATGATAGAATTCAAGACAGAACACACCAGTCAGGGTACTTCCCTACACCAGCCAGGGTACTTCCCCACATACCAGCCAGGGTACTTCCCCACATACTAGCCAGGGTACTTCCCCACACCAGCCAGAGTACTTCCCCACATACCAGCCAGGGTACTTCCCCACACCAGCCAGAGTACTGCCCCACATACCAGCCAGGGTACTTCCCCACTCACACGATTTGATTTGATTGGGACTTGCACATGAGTGAATAGATTTATCAAAGCTTATTGTTTGGGGAGCATTGAAAATTGTGTTGGGCAAATATTCTGTTAGTGGGATGGTTTGTGAAGGACCTGCTTAGTATGGGCCAACAGGTCTGCTGTAGTGTTCCTGCTTTCTTATGTATACCAGCTGAGGAAATTGTTTCAGAGGAAGAGGAAGAGAAAGGGAAGAAGGTGCCTTCTTCAAAGATTAAGGACATTTGTGCAATGTGGAGTGAGGTGCAAGCATTTGTGGAGGAACATCACCCTAACCCTCTCCCCTCCTCCTGTCTTCCATACACCAACAAGAGTCTTCATTAAAGGTAAGTGATGTTATTATTGTTTTATACTTTATTTCTCATTCTTTTCTTTATGTAAATCTATATTTAACCCTTAAACTGTCCAAACGTAGATCTGTGTTTGCATGCATAGTGCTCCGAACGTAAATCTACGTTTTATTTTTCATTCCTTCAAATTTGGCACAATAGGCTTGAGTCGCCTAGACATGAAAGAATGGGTCTATGTACTCAGTGTGTGCAGTATTAAAAAAATCTGGGAGCACTTAGTACCTTGTGGGAGCACCAGTTCAATTGAGCGCCAGCTAGAGCAAATAGCATGACAAACACCAGGGATTCACTGATGCCATGTCGCATTAACACTCCAATTATAAGAAGAAAGTAAAAATAGGTTAGATAAATACATGAGTGAGTGTGGGTGGGTGTGAGTTGGACCTGACTAGCTTGTGCTACTAGGTCTGATGTCATGCTCCTTCCTTCAATGGATGTGACCTGACTAGGTGGGTCATTGGTCTAAGTGGGAGGGGTGACATGAACCTGCCTTGCATGAGCCAGTGTTCCTTCTTTCTTATGTTCTTATGTATTCGGCAGGCTGGCCGGCTGGCTGGCTTGCTTGGGCTGTCTCTGGTTGTCTCTCTGTCTATATCTCTGTCTATATCTCTGTCTATATCTCTGTCTATATCTCTATCTATATCTCTATCTATATCTCTATCTATATCTCTGTCTATCTATATCTCTGTCTCACATGCACATATAAGTACAGTTATTGTACATAGTCTAAATTACCTAGGATAACCCAAAAATTCCAGGCAAAGATAGACAGACAGACAAACATTTTTGTGTGTATCAGTGGAAACAAATAAAGCCAGGGTTCCCTGAGTGCCCATTTATCAAATGTCACTGGGCTGTCAACAGATGTCATAACACCCTTCTTCAAGGAGTTTCATATACGTATACTCCAGGCAGACAAAGACAGATAAGCAGAGACAGACAGATAGACATACAGACAGACAGACAGACAGACATACAGACAGACAGACAGATAGATAGATAGAGAGACAAGACATGTTTGTGTGTAACAGTGATAACAAATACAGCGAGGGTTAGCTGGAGCAGTGGGCATTTATCAAATGTCACTGAGCTGTCAACAGTATAGGGATGCCTTTCATAACACCATGCCTCAAGGTATACGCCAGGGTATCTAAAACATTGCTGGGACCCATAAATACTTTGTATATATTTCTAGACAATAGTAAATAACCTAGGCAGGTGTAAATGTTCACCTGTCAATGTGATTGTGACTATTTGAGCACTATTTCAGTACCTAATATTAATGTCAGAACAAAGATTGGCTATGATATCACGCGAGTGAACATAGATCTACGTTTGGACAGTTTAAGAGTTTATGTAAAAAATAATAGTTTTTTGTTAATATTTTTGGGTGTCTGAAATGGATTAATTGGATTTGCATTATTTCTCATGGGAAAAAGGGTTTTGCCATTCGTAAATTTCAACTTTCATCACACTCTCTGGAACGGATTAATTACGAAACTCAAGAGTTCACTGTACTTAACCCTTTCAGGGTCCAGAGGCCAAATTTCAAAGGGTGCACCAGTGTCCAAGAATTTTCAAAAAATAATTTTGTTATTTTTTCTTATGAAATGGTAGAGAATCTTTTTCTGAAGGTAATAAAATAAAAAGTACGAAATTTTATGGAAAACTGACGAAATTATGCTCTCACAAATTTTCACGTGTCAGCGATATTTATGCATCGGCAATTTTGCAGACTTTGATTCCCATTTTAACCCTTAAACTGCCCAAGCAGATCTACGTTCACATGCATAGTGCTCCAAAAATAGATCTATGGTTTTTTACATATTTTCAAATATAACAAAAAAAAAAAAAACAATTTAAGGGTTAAGCCAATTACATTATTCCAGTCGACCAAATTCTTAGCTATTTCACTAATATTACTTCTATTCTATCGATTGAGCACAAGAATTCGCCAAGTCAACTGTTTCAACTACAAAATAAAGTGATCGGAAAATGGTAATTTGGCCAATTTAATGCAAAGTTCAAAATATTCCAATTTCAAAATAGGGTCCAGAATAAACAATGAAGGCATTCCTGGCACTAAACTAACATTTCCTCTGTTCATTAGTTACGTTTTCAGGCTTTACTAATGAATTCTATTTTGATTTTTTATTCAAATAATGAATTTTTATTCAAACCAAAAAATAGAAGATTTACTGTTATGCAATATCGTAATAATTATATAAATAATATCACCACATTTGTGAACGTATATTAGACCCACCAGCAGGCGTGTACTAGACGTGTGAGGTCATTTGTTTACTCTTGAACATCGGCAAAAATTTAACATTTCCGCTACTTTGAGCTCAGTTTCAAGCCATTTCCAGTATTAAAACCAATAAAAATCATCTCTATTTCTGTAATATGTCTTCCATTCTCTCAAATGAGACCAAGAAATCGCAAATACAACTATAAAAAACATACAAAAAAACACTGCAAAGTCGCTGTTTTAATAAAAAATTGCGGTCTCAGTTTTTTCTCATTATGCACTGTGTGCTGCAGGATTTGTTTTATGTGGTGCACACATACCACATAGATGTATTCTCTCATATCAAGGCCAAAATTTACCTCTCACAGCTTATCAGAGTGAGCTGAGCTCATGTCATAGACCTACGGTTTGGACCCTCAACGTAAAGCCGTAGATCTATGGCACGGACCCTCAAGGGGTTAAAATCAATAATATACAGCAGTACCTCGGTATACGTCCACTTTGGAATAAGTCCAACTTAGTATATGTCCTGTTTGAACGTGAAAATTTTTGCTTGGTATACGACCTTTGATTGGAATATGACTTGCATATTAGAACTTGTACAGTGGACCTTCAGTTTTTGTGTTTAATCCGTTCCAGAGCGATCGACGAAAACGGAAATCATTTTCCCCATAAGAAATAATGAAAATCCAATTAATCCGTTCCAGACACCCAAAAGTATTACCAAAAAAATTTTTTACCTTAAAGATAAATTTACATGCACAAAAGAATGAACATTCAACATGGCACTTACCTTTGTTGATGGCTGTTGTTGATGGATGGAAGAAGGGGAGGAGGGGAGAGGGAAGAGGTTATTCTTTGGAAGGGGAATCCCCCTCCATAAGGACTCTAGGTACCATGTCCTTATCTGGGGTCACTTCCCTCCTTTGTTTTTTAATGCCACTAGGACCAGCTTGAGAGTCACTGGATCCTTGTCGCAGAAAATATCTATCCAGAGAGGTCTGTTTCTGGCATCTCTTTAAGATTTGCCTAAAATGGGACGTGGCATTGTCACTGAAAAAGTCGCCAGCACGGATTGCAACAGCTTTCTCAGGGTGATGTTCCTCCACACTGCACATATCTCCTTAATCTTTGAAGAAGGCACCTTCTTCCATCTCTCTTCCTCCTCCTCTGAAGCAATTTCCTCAGCTGTGGTCTGTTGCTGTTGCAGATGAAGCTCTTGCAGCTCATCAGTGGTGGTCCTCCACCAACTCTTCCACATCCTCGCCACTCACATCCAACCCCATGGAATTCCCCAATGCCACAATTGATTGCACAACAGGTATGGGGTCAACAGGGTCAACCTCAAACCCTTCAAAATCCTTCTTTTGGACACAATCTGGCCACAATTTTCCCCAAGCAGAGTTCATCGTCCTGGAAGTCACTCCCTGCCAAGCCTTATCTATAAGGCTTTTGCGGTGGAAGATATTGAAATGATTCTTCCAGAACTCTCTTAGGGTCAATTCAGAGTCTGAGGTTATGTCAAAGCACCTTTGAAACATTGCTTTGGTGTACAGTTTTTTGAAGTTTGCAATGATCTGCTGGTCCATGGGCTGGATGAGAGGAGTGGTG